AAATCTCTGGGGGATCTGGTAAACTGGTCGCCTGTGGTTTTCTACTTGGACCTTGAAAAAGAAGCCCATAGCTACATGTACTCATCTAACCTCGAGGAACTTTAGCTACAAAGTCATGTAACCGTTGGAATCATTATCAAAGCGCCGACTATCTACGAAATAGTAGATAGTAGTTATCTTGGTTGACCTATTGTAAAGGGTAATTCACGCGTGACGCGACCTGCAGTTTTCATGAACAGGGGTGACGCGGGCCTGTACATGAAACTTTCCCGGAAAACGGTCCGCGAACCACCAACATGAATTACTCATACCTACTATTCTCCTTCGTGGGCGGTTACCTAGATTTCTCTGTTCCTAGCTGGTTGCCTTCTTTTAGGATCCAGTCCTACCAAGGTCCTGCCAGTAAGAAACATGGTGCTACAAACTAAGCTGAACACGTCTACAAGTATAGACGGAGATCATTACGCTTCGATAATCAAATGCTTTGATCGCTGTGTGCGGTTATGCGACCGACTCATCCTCCAATGGATAAACCCTATCCCCGATAACGATCCGTTGGGTGTTCTCGTGGCAACGCAGATCCAAGCTTTGAAAGATCGAGTCTATAGCCTCAGACACGAGTGTACGAACCTCGACCTGACTACGATTGCTGCACCCCTGCTGGCTACGAAGGTCTCGCTTCTGGAGACATTGGACTTGATTGACTTTTACCGCCAGGAAGAACGGCACGGTCAAGATGGTGCACTGAATGCACTTTTTGCATCTCGACACATCCTCAAACGTACCAAGGACTACTCCGGTACACCAGGAGTAGTCAGTGAGGAAAGGTACGTCCGTATGGGCAAAGAGCTTGGCACAATCCTTAAAGGCTTCATGCAAGAACCCGTTCAATCGGCGGCGCATGCAGAGCAAATTTTTGAAAGACATAGGTATGTTGCCTGGTCAACATAACACAATCATCCTGCTAATGTCTGTTAGACCGACAATCGCAGAATTCTGCCAACACGTCTTTGAAGCGAATCGCCCCCGATACATCTCAAAGTACCCTGCAGCAGACGATGTGCCCTATAAACAAGATGCTGCGAGCCCTGTATATACTGGCAGTTTCGGCGCCGTCCGGAAAGTCATCCACCGTCGAACTGGAGAGCTTTTAGCAATGAAGACATTCTGCAATGTCTTTTCAAAAAGGGAAAAGAAGCCAATTCTAAAGGAGATTGGGTTGCTTGAAGTCTGTTCCCACAAGAACATTGTTCGATACATCGAAGCGTTCTGCATGGAGGATGACGAGTATACCATACACTTGATCATAGCGCCCTGGGCGCCCTACACGTTGACAAAATTCCTTGGCGCCTCCGATATGATTCGAAAAAAGCAATGTCCTTGGTTCGAGCACAAGAATCCGAAATCACATCGGCCGGTGTACCGAATCATGTACGAGCTTTCTGATGCACTCGAGTATCTCCACAGCCATTCAATCAAGCACAAGGACTTGAAACCAGATAACATTCTTCTGCATCAACAGGACAACGACGATGTTACTCCAATGATCACTGACGTTGGCATCAGTAAGATCCACATGCAAGGCGCTATGACGAAGTATACGGACAGCACATATGTGTATCTTGCTCCTGAGCAGCATGCAGAGAAGGAGAGCTCTCCTGTATCTGACATTTGGCAACTTGGTTGCTGTTTTGCCGAATTGCTCGCTGTACTGGTCGCAGGCACGTCAGGGTACAGAAGGCTTCATGATAGTTTCAACAGAGAAGAGGAAAACTGCTCATGCTCCATTGCACTCGAGCATACTCACTTTATGAAGGCGCTGGCCGCGATCTGCATGCGTGGAAACGCTACTCAGAGGAGGACCCTAGAAATTACATTTGGTATGCTAGAATCAAACCCATCTCAGAGGCTTGAGATCAGGCTAGCCAAGGCTGCCCTTAAGGACTTGGCTCTCTGATTGTCTCCAAAGCTGCAAGATAGTAGACCAAGCCGCAAGGGGGTCACAGGCGGGTCAGGGTTTTCTTAGGCAGGGTGTAGATAATGAAGTGCAAGTCTCCGTAGTATTCTCGTCCAAAAAGCGAAATTTTCATGCCTATATGTGCTTATTTGGAGCAACGAAAGAGAGGATCGAGACTTCAGTGCGTCTTCAGCCAGCATACGTAGGTAGGTTTCGATCGCGATAGCAGCAGCATAGGCAATAATGGCACTTCAATACCTCCTTAACGAATTAATGTCAACGTGGTTTGTCTCTGTGCACCCACTGTACATCAGTGTGTCTAGACCGACTTTTTACAGCCCCAAAATTGTGAAGGCCGTCTGTAGCGGAATTCGACACCTCTTGGTAAATGCACCTCCCCCCCCCTCTCTCCCCAAACTGACCCATCGCATCAGGCCACTGACTCAACCTCGACATAACCGACCAAGGCCTCTTCAACCCAAAGAGAGTGGTCATAATCACTCGACCAATGAATCTCTCGCGCCAAAAGAATCGGAAACGTTTCAAGTCGCCCTTAATCCACCTTTCCCAGCGCGCATCAACACCCTCAGCTGACCGGATGGTGAAGCAGACGATGAAAGGGGCACCCACATGACTGAGCCTCTTCATAGTATGAAAGTAGATGTACGCGAAGAGTATATTGAACTATGTGTCCTGCAACAATGTCGGTTTTGCCGAAGAAGTTCTCTCAACAGACTACAGATGACATAGTAGCTGCTGCGACAACAAGCTTAATCGATGGTCTTGTCCAAGTTTCATGGGGTAAGGGTCACATAAGAATATCCATTTAGTGGGGCAATCGTGGCGTAGGGGACTCCAATTCTAGGTGCTAGAACCTCTAGTCCTAGAGGCTTCCATACCAACATTTCAACATTTGTATGCAACATGCCAAGATGCACCCGTTAGAAAGCGGATTCGGCAGCGAATGTACCGCCTTGTGGCCACGGCATCATCATTCCATGGTTGTAATTTGTTCAAGATTGGATAACAGTATGCGCGGTTCCGCCTCTACATAGGTCCTAAAGTCTATCAGGCCGCCTTGAGGGTACGGCCGTCGTTGGCTTTAAGGGTAGATAGCCACCGTGCTCGATAAATCCAAATTTATAACGACCCTTACTGAATTGAAATCCGCTCGTTCTTTTCATGTCAACCTTGGATAAGGTTGAATCTAGATTGAACATGAGGCTGATTTGGCTGCGGCGAATATATATAAACCTGCTTTAATGGCTATCAGAACATAGAGCATAAAGTCTGTCCTTATCTGATATACGAAATCCAGCTCTAGAATGTAGGCTCACCACTTGGTAGCCATAGCCTGTACATAATAGGAGTCATGACTTGTATCGGAACCCAAGATTTGCATTCGATTTTCAAACCTTTTTTCATAGCTATTCATAGATCCCATTCTGGCCCTCACGATTAGTTCTAAAAAGAACTGACAGTGGTAAACCAGCTGGTACATCATACCAGTCAATCAGGTAGGCGGTGACAAATTGGGCACGCGGTAAACAAAAATTCCGCCCAGTCCTTGACCTAACTGGTGGGGCGACTTCCGGGGAAGCCGCTAACCCAACACAAGAATAAGGATAAACGTAAGTGTGGACGCCATTTCAGTTTATTCTTGATACTCTCATATCTACTTAATGTAGAGGTCGCCAGGAAATGCCAATATTCAGGCAGTTTTAAAGGCGGTCTTGTCATCCCTAGCTCATCATCAGAACGGGCGAAGTCTTAGCCATTTGTAGGCCACGGGTGGCTATGGCAAGAATTCTTATTGCTGCAATATTTTGACAGATATATTTTATCGATTACATATTCGTCTTCTATGTTGAACTGACGTTCTGGCATTGGGACTTTTCGCCGTAGTTGTTTGAAATGGTGACTTTGTGCTTGGACCATTCAGCACATAGCGCTGACCCGCGAATTGGGGAATCACCATTTGGACTGGCTTCCCTAGAAGCCGCTCCACAGGAAGTCATTCCATCTCAGTAAAGCTTGAACAGAAAACAGGATCAAACAAATGTAATTGAATTATTGAGAAAATACCAAATTTATCATGTCTGAGCTACACCAAAAAGAAAGATCTTAAATGCTGAATGAAGGAGTGGTAACTCGAGTTGGACGATTGACGGTCCGCTCAGAACGAAATGGTTAATTTATCAATTTTCGTCATGCATTTACGGTTGCACGTAGCTTCAAAGTTTTCAAATTTTACTCCATCTCTTTGAATGTCAGCTCGGCTCCAATTGGCAAGACCCCAGCTTCAGAAATTTCATCCAATCAGATCACTTGGTTTAAGGTATCTGCACGATCTGATTGGCTCTCGGTGTAGCTCGCACGAGGGGAGCCGAGCTGACATTCAAAGAGATAGGGCATTCAGACTTATGCAAAGGTGGGTCGTCGTTCAGCCCAGGCTTTGGCTGGGCTCGGGCTAGAAGCGGCACTGCTCGGGTGAAGCCCCCAATACGATTCAGCACGGTAAAACCTACTTCACAGGGACTGGGTAGGAGCTATGACATTGGGTGTCCAGGCCGTGTTTCAGTGCAATGATGTAACCCAAGGCACCTGGCCATTGTGTTCTGCTATTCTGTTGGTAACATTTATTATCATTAATAGGTACTAACAGCAAGGGACTGCATGCAACTAGAATGATTCTAATCAGGTGGTTTCAGCAATGCTGGGTAATACTCTAGTCATTTCCATTAAGGGTGCACCGAGGTCAATGCAAAGGCATCACGGCTATACTCTCCAACAAGTGCAGTTTGCACGGCGTCATAATAGCAGAAGGAATGATCATAGTCGCAGGTGCCTGCCAGTTGCAGATGGTTGGCAAATTTAACTTTTTCTCGAAGTCTTCCGCCCCACTCATCCCGGGGACCCACTTAAATCCCGTAGCCGGCCGTTTGATTACCTAATAGCCCTCACATGTGGATATCAACGATTCAGCTCGATCTTTTGCCCAAGTTTTCTACCTCAAATTAAGCAGCTCAATTCGTATCGAACAGGCAAGATGGCCGAGTTGGTTATGGCGCCAGGTTAAGGTCACCTTAACAACCAATATCCTGGTGGAGCAATCCGCGTGGGTTCAAGTCCCACTCTTGTCACTTCATATTTTTGTATGATATTCATCTTTTTGTCTCTTTTCTGTGTCTTATTTATTTTTTATTTCTTCACTGTTCTTGTCTAACGTGAGCATTGGTGACCAGGTTCTCAGCTGTAGATTTCTTATTACTAGTTCTCAATATGTTATAATTTGGTCGTTCAATAAAGACGTTCTGCCTGCTATCCGGGACTGTCGACTTTGTGAGATCCAAACTGGCAGGCACGTTCCGTCGCAAAGACGGCAGCTACGACACGCGACCAAACTACTTTAACCTGAGACATCAATTAATCCCATCAAATCAACATTAGTCTCACACTCTTGCGTCTAACCTCTCCAAAGGCACTGAACCACAAGCTTCAATCTCGAACACCACAGATAGATACCATGAGATCAACAATCTGCCCCAGTTGCTGCCAGGCACTACAAACTTCTCGGAAGCGGCTATCATCAATTCACCAGCAGAAAACTACCCAATCAACCCTAACACGCCCATCGCGAGTCCCTCCCCCAACTCCAACCACAAACCTCTCTCCATCAGAACTATCCTCCCTCCTTTCCAAGCCAACCTGGTCCGTCCGCTCACTCCTGCCCACATCCACCACCTCCATCTCAGAAACCACAACACCAACCGTAACCCCGCAAACCCTCTCCCACCTCCTCCGGCTCTCCGCCCTCCCGCAACCCACGTCCAAAACCGAAGAAGCAGAAATGCTCGCAACACTCACCTCGCAACTGCATTTCGTGCGCGCAATCCAGGGCATCGACACGACGAACATCACTCCCTTACGCGTGATCCGCGACGAGACCGCTCAGGGGTTGCGCGAGCAGATGATTGGGCTAGCTGAGTTGCAGGAGGCATTGGATGCGGAGGATGTCGTGGGACATGCGAAGAGACCGAGACGGCGAAGAACTACAACTACAACGTCAACAACAAATGATGGTGGCGTGGTGGACAGCGTGAGAGACGAGAACAGTCGGAATGAGGAGGAAGATTGGGACGTCCTGGGTGGCGCGAGCGAGACCGTGGGAGGTCGGTATTTCGTAGTCAGGAGCGGAGGGGGATCTAAGTAAGAATGCCTCGACAGCAGAAAGCCCAGTGGAGTAGATTCGGACCAAATTTGGTTGCCCTTTTGCACCATCGAAGCTGTAAGAGAGAGAAAAGGCATGGGAATTCGTCTATTCGTGAGAGAGCATCTCATGATAACTGCGGATCGTACACTACTTATGTCCTATGGGGTTCAGTAACAAACCTACCCCCGGTATGTGCCTGCGCGAGCGTGCCTCGTAAAGAGGAAAAACTATTTACACATGTGATAGGTATTACACAAACATAACATAATGGCTCGAACCCTCAGGACGAGCCTTGGCCCTTTTAGCCAGTCTGTATACTATACAACATTCCTTACACTCGTAAGGTTATACTCGCACCACCCCGAGCTAAACGCCCGGCATTCAACGACGTCGTGCGTTCTCTTTCGCTCTGCGGCCTTGAGCTGGATGCTGCTGACCACCCGTGGTTGTCGGATATCCGGCCTTACCATTGGTCTTGGGAAAGCCGTTCGTCTTAGCGAACCCATTGGACTTCCCAACACCATTTGTTTTGGCAGCTCCATTTGTCTTGGCAAGTCCGTTCGTCTTGGGCATAGGCTTCATCTGCTGTGGAGTCTTTTGGTCTTGGATGACATTGCCATTGCGCTGCTGGAGTTTCGGGATGCCATCACCGTTCTCCTCATACAGAGCCAATTCAAGCTGAGCCTGGTTCTCAGTGACCTCGACGTAATTGATGTCCTCCCACCCTAGCTTCTTCAGGATATCGCCAATATGAAACTGATAGTGGAGATGATTCTCAAGGATGTCGCTTAGATCTATGTTCTGAAGTCGATGAATTCCCTGGATAGGCTGTAGCCCAGCGACTCCGTATTGCCACGAACAGGACCTATACATGAAGCTGAGAAGGTAGTCGGTCTTGGAGTAGACATTGACCAGACGGCCTGCGACGACACTTCTCATTGCTGCCCATGCATGGATCTCGGAAGGGCATGGGGCTCCGAACAGAACTGCGTTCTCGACAATGCCGAAGGAACGCTTCTCGGACAGTGCCATCAGACACGAATAGACTACACGAGCACCAATGCCATAGCCTATAAGTGAAACCGATCTCTCTCCTTGAACCTTATTGTTGAGAATCTCAGCCAGGACATTTCCAGCTTTCTCGGCGCGGACCATGGCAACGGTCCAAGGATTGTCTAGAATCTTGCTGGCCTTGACGAGATCCGTTGGCCAGTGGGATTGAGTCAAACAACCGAAGACTGTAGGAAAATCAGTAGGCAATACGTATTACTCATTTGTAGGTACCTCTTACCAGTGCGTGATGCCATCTCTTCCTTGATGCCGCTCCAAACTCTGCTCGTGGTCACAGTTCGGATAGCATCACCGATCTTCCTCAGGGAGTCAAGTTCCCATCGCATGGCATAGGCCTCAGTCTGTTGTCCGAGAATCTTCCAGGGGTATTGAAAATCATTCTTCGCGGTTGTCCATCCGCTAATTGCGAAAGTCGCACGCATGCGACGATATTCTACTGGTACATCCTTGGGGTCGATGAGTTCTGTCTGAGGATATCCATGTATCTGCATCAGAGCAAAGTCTTGGACATCCTTTGAGTATGCCTCCATTGCCTTGCCGCCCTGTCGAGCTCCATACAGCCCGAACAAGGTACCGACAGGAACGGTGCTTTCTGCTGAACCAACACCGCCTAGTAAAGTTGCGGTCACTTTGGCGCTGAGTCCAACACCTCCGAAAACTGTGCCAGCACCAGCGATAATCAGAGGATCAGCCAGAATGTCGGAGAAAACCACCGGAACGGGAGTCTGAACACCTCCACTTCTCCAGCGCTTGTGGGGTTTCGCCTCCTCTGCTCGTCTCTGCGCAATTTCGTCGGGGGAGATGCCTTCGATTATCTGGGCCAAGCCCTGCGAGATTCGGAATTCGTCGTCCAATAGCACGAATGTTGGTATATGTAATGCAGTAGCAAGCTTCAGGAGAGCCGTGCGCGAGTATGTGGGATACTGACCCAACCCAAGAAACATGAGGAGCATTGTATGCAGAATCAAGGCACGCTTCTCTTTAGGAGCCTGACAAAGAGCAGTGTACAAGGCAGGAAACTGCTCCATGTGCAGTGTGTTGGATGCATCCCGAGATGACTGGCATGCCATGACGGGTTTGACGGGTGCTGCAGCCCCTGTTAGACTTCTCTTGTTGAAATGAGCATGGGGGCATTCTAGGAGGGGAGAACGTGTCATGAAATCCGGTGGTGCACATGTTGAAATGAGGCTCTGTCATGTCCCATACGACGCCTGCATAGGAAAACTTACTGGCGGTTCTGGCAATGGAGCCTCGTCTAACAGCACCAAGGCCTCGAGCTTGCTGGGGCGGCTGGCGCGCAATGTTGCCACCAGTACCACCATGCTTGATGACAATCTCATGGAGACGTTTAAAGACGTTTCCACGCCACTTGCCAAAGTGGCCTAGGGCATCACGCTTCATCTCGGAAAGGCTCGATGTGACAAGCTCGAGCTCAGTCTTCTTGGCATTCTCGGTGGCCTCCTCAGCGGATCGGGGAATGGTTAACGTGGGCTTGGGTGTTAAGGGGTCTGGGTTAGCAGGTTGTTGCTTCATAATTCGCTTCAGAGCATCACGGTCGTCAAAGTCGAGTTTCTCAAGGGGCAGTCCAATATCGCCGTACTGGCCGCGATACTTATCGCTCCGTGGGTTGGGCACAGAGAGGGTAATGGCCTTGGGGACAACAATGCCTTCGGTCGGTTCGACCCGAGGTACGATCAGCTTGTCGAAATTATCACGAAGTTGGGTCTGCATGTCATCCATGATTGCTGTCATGATGACGTTGAGCTGCTTTAGCTGTTCATGATTGAGCATGGCACTCAAATCGATCTCTGGGCGCTTGGTGAGGAACGCTTTACCAAGAGGGTTGTGGCGCGGCATCTTGTCGGTGGGAGCGGAGCTTTCATCACCTGAAGTGGTGGGAGATACCGAGGTGGGAAATGTGGTGGAGGTGGGAGAGGTCGGCGAGATGGGAGCCTCCATCGTGGCAGATTCAGAGGAGGCCATGTTGTCGGCAAGCGGAAGGAAACTGCGAACCTTCAGCTGTTGACGATCGATAGGTTGGCCTGGCAGTGAGGAAGGTGCGAAGGCAGTGACGGTGGGGTACGCTTTGTAGTCGCCGAGGATGTTCCCTTCTCCCTGTTAGAACACACATTGTGACTACCCTCATTATTGCACTGGGAGATACCATTGAATATCTAAATGCTCTCTGAACAATGGCAGTGGCGGCTTCCATGAAGAATGCAAGAATGAATAGCATCGACACAACGGAGGAATTTCAAACGCTTGACTTGTCTATAAACCAGCGGGGTCGGTGATGTGGGATAAGTACATGAAATAAGACATAAAGCATGCTCCGTGCAACCATCCGTACCACTAGGCACGGAAGGGCAAACGACCTCGTCCTATTTGATTGTATCCAATCACTTATTCACTTGGCACTTGAATCACTAGATGGGGAGTAGAACAAACAGGAAGGGGCCCGTGACTAATGATGGTCAAACTTAACCTTCAAAATTCACCTGATATGTCCTTTATCAACCACTTTTTGATCACTGTCTGCCTCAGGCATGGAGCTTTGTCACACGGCTAAGGTATGCTCTCGGTTTCAAGCATAGAGCGGTGTGTCCTTACTTGTATATCTACCGAGCATTACAACCAGATTTGAGGTCACATTCTGTTCCTCCTTCATGTGGCACAGTCACTTAGCTTGTAACTCCATGCCAGTGGTATCCGTGTAGACAAAGAACTTCGAACGTGAGCCATACCCCGCCATTCTAGCCAGCGTCGAACAGGATCGAATAGGCGAATCATGGATAGAATGGAAAACTTTGGTGCGTAAAGCCATAACTAAATTCTGTTCCTCATATATAAGGGAGTTGC